AGATACAAAAAGAGACACATATAATGTTTATTCATTCGTTTTGTATTTGTCAAAGTAACAAGGCAAAGGAATGATAAGATGCTTCAGTCGAAAACTGCATTTTACTTCTCATTTAAAAAGTTGTTAAAAAGCAGAAACTTCGACCAACATGAAATCAACAATAGACTGCTTCTATTTATTCAACATTTACATGCATACTATGTTTAAAAAATTCCAGCTTTACGGTTTCAGGACAGAACAGCCACTCTTATGAACATTACGGTTTTTTGGTTGAGAGTGTTAGATTCACTGCTGTTATTAACACTAATGACACATTAGCGCAAACAAAAGGGCTGCATACACCGAAGTACTTCTTGATTGTTCATTGGCGTGGGAAACGGCGGTTCTAGTGTTATTAGGGGACTAATCAGCATTAGCTGCAAGATCGTAATTGTTTTTCTTTTTGCTGCAATTGTTTTCATTATTACTTTATTTAACTTAACACACCACATCTTGCAGAATATAGACCAGTTAATATTTTGATGTTATCTCATGCGGTAATACTGCGTCATATGTTTTAAATTTACTACACACTGAATATTGAACTGAAGCTTGACATAAAAAATATCGCAAATGAAATTGTAATCGCAATGTCAGAAAAATTGCGATTAGATATTTTCCCCAAATCGTTCAGCCCTACTTATTTCTCCCATCTCTACCTATAGCCCCTTTACCCCAAAGAATTATCCTTTTGGAGTAATGAGATTGCAGTAAGCGTGGGTCTCTGCTGGCTTACTGTAAATGTTTTGAGGATTATGGGCTGTTTGCTGTTTCATTAGTCATTGGTGTAAGCACAACACTTGTTAACATCCTGTTCTGTGCAGTTTACAAGCTGCAGTGTCATTTGCAGCTTGGAGGATGTTTAAGTTTCTGTGACCCTTACAAGAAGAGAGTTTGGTCTCTGAGCCTCCACACGTCATGCTTGGTCTGTTTGGGAACTAGGGCTGTCACGATCTTGAAATTTTAACTGACGATTAATTAGTATACAAATAATTGCGATTAACGATTTAATTGTCTTTTTTCTGTTCTTGGTATAAAGTGAACATATTCATAGTTTAATAATACACCTTATGAAGAAACCCTGTTTATTCACTTTGAACCTCATATGTAACATATAAAAAGGCAGAAACTTTTCAATTAATGTAAAAAAAAAAATTGTTTGCCTTTGTTTTGTTAAAAAATGTACAGGGCAGGAGAGCGTCTGAGACATAAAGAACAAATAATCAGTAACCAGTAATAATTACCAAACTAATCATGACAATACAACAGTCAATGTCCTTTTCACACATAACCGATCATGCTCATTACTGGCTAGGCAGATTCCGTGCAAGAAACACTAACATGTTCACTTTATCTGGTTTAAGGCCACATCTCACTGGGATCACAATGTTTCCAGCTGTACTAAACATTCTCTCAGAGGCACTACTTGTCGCACAAATGCAGAGGTACTTCCGAGCTAACTTTGCAACCGAAGGGAACCTTGCTTGGTTATCACGGCACCACATTAAGGGATCCCTTGAAGGATCCAAGACCTGTTCCTGCAAGTACCGAGTTAGTTCAGGATCAATATGCACTAATTATGCCACAGTCTGGGTAGTAATTTCTTTTCGACAATATTGAACGGCAGCATTTCTTTCGCTATATATCTTGTTACGCTGTCTGTTAACGAGCGCCATTTAGCTCCGTCATGTTTATATTTAGTAACTATCCAAAAAATGATCGCGATCAGCTCAAACTATCGCGATCAGGCAATTAATTGATAATTGCGACAGGTCTATTGGGAACAAAAGGACTATTTGATTCCCTAACCAGGTCAACAGACGCTTGTCTATGGCTTTTTCATTTTTTTTAGGTGCATCTGTGTAGGTGGTCAGGGAATGTGCTGAGGTTGACTTGCTCGATGCTGTATTGATTTGTATGTTCATTACAGGTGATTGACAGGTTGGCTGGATCCTCAATGTCTTTGGTAACTTCATGTAATTTATTGGGGGGAAAAAATGTAGAGATTTGCACTTGTGACCTGCATAGGAGCCCTCTGGAGGTGGTGGTCATGGAAACCTTAAAGGTCCGGTTCCGAAGCTGGATCTGTGTCAGCGGGGGCGCTGTGGCTGAGCTGCCGTTGGACCAAGACCTAGTCATGCTTGCGTCGGAGTGCGTGTGTGTTGTTTTTTTCACTGGGGACATAATTTGGAAGTTTGATGTGGACCATGTGTTGATGTGTGGAATAAAAAATAGAAAGAAAAAAAAAACTCCCCCAGAGAACATACACAGACCCTGCCCCCCCCCCCACCACCTGCTCTGGCACTGATCTTTCTACAAAGCGGGGCTTTGAAAATCCTGTCACTCTGAACGACTGAAGGATTTCACCGTGAACTGCCAGCGAAAATCAGACCCTGGCGACTCTAGAGGCACTGAGCCCCCTGTCCCCCCTCCCCCATTGAATGTGATTCGTCTGTGTGAGTCACATCTCCTGCAGGTCTGTTAGTGTACCTTCCGGCAGGTCAGCCATGAGCCTGCATGGGTCCATCCTGTTTCTCTGGTTTTCTCTTCACTTCCACATATCTCCTGTTTAATCGCCAGTTTATCCCAGTGGTGGCCAGTCTGGCTTGGGCTGACCATTTAAAATCAGTTCTGTTGGTGCCTTATGAAGCTTGATTTTGTCACGGGTGTGCATCGTGTGTGTGTTTGTGCTATTCGTGTACAGCAAACCAGGCTTCCCGCCTAAGCCTAAGCCTAACCCTAACCTTGACCCCGTGGTTGTGATGGTGCGTTTCCAAAAAACTCTCGTTAGCAACTTACATAGTTGGACCCATTCATTTGCATCGTGTGTTAGTTATGCAGTATATAGTTAGCTGTGTATACTAAGTATACTATGCTTTTGGGAAATGCACCCCGAATTTGATCTCCATGTCAGGCCATTCGAGCTCGCAGGAGAGATGCGTAAACCTGAATTGTGACCATGGCTGATCTCTTATCTGTTATTTCCACAGTGCTAACCTGCCGTCACGTTCGGCTGCAGCTGGCGTCCTTTGTACTAAAACTGCCCCCCCCACTAGATGTCAAACTAAACTTTAATGAATGGAATCAAATTGTTAGCTGTCATACAGGACAAATGAATTTCCACCTAAATACCGAATCCCTTTCGATAACACAGCACTGCCACCAAGACAGACAGGAAGAGAAGCCTTGGCTCAAATGTCAGGGCTTTCGGGGGGGGGGGGGGTATTTATGCAGAGGGTAGAGATATCTTCCTCTGATTTGGCGAGGGGACTCTCGCCGTCCGTGTCGTGCCGGTTGTCTTTTCCGGAAGTCGCCGTGGAGCATCACGCCTCTCTGATTCTCCCCGGAGCAGGGCTGAGATTCTGGGTGTGTTAACGACGTAAGCTGTAACTGTATCCTGACGGTAAAAAATAAATCTGCTGACTCGGGTTCTCGTTCCGCAAGCTGCACCGTTTAGCGTCACATGGTTTACTCAAAGGCACTCAAGCTTTTCCACGCTTGTCGCCGATCCCGTCCACCCCCCCCCCCACCCCATTTCAGTGGCCCCTCGTTCTTTCTGTTTCCTGAAGCTACAGTATCTTTCGACCCCAAGAGAGATCAAACCGTCTGGTGAAGTATCTTAAAATTTTAGCTACGGCTTAATTTAAGCTAAGAATTTATCTCGTACTTTCTGGAGGAAGGGCTGTGAATGATTTATCGGTCTGTTTTTTTCCCCCCCACACGGTTTTCTTGGGTGGATGGGGTAATATGAGAATGACAAAGGCTGGTAGGCTGAAGAAACTTTGGAGGGAAGCGAGCTTCCATAGGACTAAGTCTGGACGTCTTTGATTCCGCGGGGGAGCAACTGCGATACCCAGACTGCACCGTATTGTGAATAATGAGCTGCTTCAGTTGAGCGGCACCATCATCCACGGGCTCACCCCCCCTGCCCCCCAAGATGCTTAGCTCTAGGCTTCACTTGCTCCCTGTTTTCATGTCCGCACCCCCCTACCCGGCTCCAGCGACACCGAGCTAGCTCTCTCTGACTCACCTCCGCGTTCCTGCACAAATCATCCACCTTCCATTCTTCTGCCTCCTGCTCCCAGTGTTTGCTGGGAAACGCGCTGAGGAAGGGCGGCTGAACCTTGATGTAGAGCACTGTTGACGTGTCACTTCCTAGCTGAGCAGTACCACAGATTTATATTATTTATTTAATTTTTACATTGTATGTTTTTTTTTTATTTCTCTGTCTTTGCTTTTGGCAGATCAGGTTTCCTGTGGAATTCATTTACATTATTCCACTAAATAGTAATTTCTTATAAAAAAAAAAAAAAAGTTTAAGAATTTCTGTGGAAAGGCACAGTGAATGTTTACATACGAGGTACTAGCATAATAATAGTTATGCATGCTAGTTATCTGCTTGTGCGTGCATTCGCACAAATATAGGCCAACATATATCTGTGTACAGTCATCTATAACACAGAAGTGTGATCCAAGATGGCTGATTTAGTTCACATGAAAGATGCATCTGTTATCTAGTTTCAGGTCTTCATTGGGCTGCGTAACAAACAGTTCTAAGGTTTGCACTCTGCAGCATCAGGTAAAGTGCAGCCCGGTTCACGTGCAGGCTCAAATCACACACACACAAAGAAACTACAAGACTATAGGCCTAGCTAACCAGCTAGCTTATGGTAATAAAATACAGCGTGAATCACACATTCATCTAAGTGCCTTAAATAAAGTCTCACGTTGCAATGAGACTCGTTTATCACCTGCTTCCCCATGACTTTTCCCTCGTGCAGCCGACTGGTCACGTGTCACGTCCAGTAACCGCTAAGGCTTCTTACGACGGGAATCATAACGTGTGCCGGTCATCATTCGGAACCGGTCGGCCTGGAGAGCTGGCGTCTTTCTTAAGGGCTGAATAACGATGTCGACGGTGACGCTGTGTGTGTTTGTTTTTTTTTTTTGCTGACTCCAAGACTCCTGCATGCTGGAGTGACGACGAAGCAGGAGAGAAGAGTGCGCTGCGGCAGCGCTCTGCTTCCCGGAGCAGCGCGGACCAGCTCCGAGAGGTAGCCCAGCCTGCACATCACGTCACAGACACCTCTCCTTGGTTCTGTTTAGATAACCTATTCATTACCCCAAAAACACTGACAACTGTATCTGGATCAGTGCCTCTAGGACAATAGGCACTGGAGATACTGTATGTTTGTGCATCCGTGTGTGTATTTGTGGACTCATTTCTGCTGATTATCAGATTTGGATGCCAACTTTGGGTTGTGTCTTCAACATAAGCTTTACACCACATTAAAAAATTATCACTAAGTAGACCTATTTACACTTAGTTTAAACCCCCATGTAAGGAGATCTGAAATTTTACCAGCAGTGTGAGCCCATTTGAATTCGGGGTATGGATTGAGATGCTGTGTAGACGGGCACAATCTGGCTTCAGGCGCTGGCGACAGTTTGAACAACCTTTACAGAAGTCTGGACTTTAATTTAACCTGACCGGTGAACTTTCAATAAAACCACTTCTCATTTACCATTAACAATTTCGTGAATTCGATTACGGAAGACTTTCTGCGGAACCGTAATGAACCGTAGGGTTCATCGAAAGGGGACTGGAGCAGCTCCCGTCTTGGGATTGCAGAAGTTGTGGTTCATCACCTTAACCAACGTACCACCTGCCGCTATATTCAAATCGCATCGCCCAAGAGAGACGCTGCAGCCGCGATAACATCAATGGTATCGGATCCCCCATCCGTAATGTCAGAAAGCCGCAGTCTGCGGGCTGAGCTTTTCACATCACAGCGACTCTGCCAGGAAAGCGCGTAGCGTGTTTAGTGCCTCAACGCTCGGTTTGCTATATATAAACTTCCTGCCCTGCCTCGCGGACCCGCGCCCCGAGAGGGGTGCTGGCGGCCGCGAGGTGTCAGCGGGCGGCGCGGCCGCTCCCAGATTCCGCCCCCCTCCGCCGCCTTTCCTGCAATTTTAGATCGGCTCGGCAGAACAGCGGAGGAAGCCAACACGATGCTGTATTGTGCCGCTCAGAAATAATCGGGCATCGGTCGTTGCTGATCTGGGGCTTTCGTGCATCCCTGCAGACGCTCCACCGGTCGCACCCCTTCGCCGTGTCTGTCTGAGCAAATCCTCTTCCATCACGACACACCTTTTAAATACTTCCCGGCCTCTTAACGAGCTTCTTCGGTTAGAAGTACTGTTTGAGAAACTAAATATATGTCTCTTTAGTGTGTGTGTGTGTGTGTGTGTGTGTGTGTGTGTGTGTGTTTTATCGCATTTTCATGTCTTAGGCTTTCGTACATTTGCACAAATACCCAAGATTGTCTCTACTTTGTAGGTCATTATATTTTACAGCAAACTCAAAAGTGTACATCTGAACCGTAATACGACACTGCATGTGGGAATTTGTCCCAAAAAAGTACACTAGAATTATATAATTTTAGACGGCGTCTGGAGATGTCATCTAGAAGGTAAATAAAGTGCAGGGCTGCTTATTTGAAATACACGTTTTAGAAGGGAGAGATTTTACCAGCCACTCTACAATTTAGTATTTGAGCTGAATTCTTCTTTTTTCAGGCCAATTACGTGGAGGCAGCGATATTAATCATGTTAGAACATTAAGACCGTGCAGTGTGATCTTGATATGTATAATCAACTTAATGTGTCGATTTAATCACTTTTTAATACGTAATACAACACATAATTTGCCTTCCTATAACCGCAAATAGAGCAGACCAAACAGGAACAGGTGACAGCTTACTTGTATACATTTTTTTTAAATTTTCATAAAGCGTGCTAATATGTGGTTGCAATGTGCATGTTAGCAAAAGCGAATGCAGTAACTTTGAAAGGTAACATTGTACTGTCGTCACAAATTTGTGCCTCAGCACTAAACTGAACTTTAGCCATTTAATGAGTAACTGCTAGCCCTTTATATCCACTTAAAATGCGTGTGCAAATTTACTTGGTTACAACAAAACCTTGGCTTTCACTTACTGGGATATTCTGAGTTGTTAGGTTCTAAGTTAAGTTGAACCCTTTATTTCAAGAGCTAATGTCTTGTCTACAGAGGCATATCTTAGTAGAATAAAATGACTATTTAAAATCATTTACGGAAACGTGGTCTATGAACATGTTTGTTCACCACAATCTTGCGTTTTGTGGAAGTTGGGATTTTATTTTATTTGCCAGTTTTTTCCCGAAAAACTGTTCCACTGGATCTCTGTCGTCTGTTCTTGTTTTCAGTCACTGGTTACCATAGTGAGATTACCACGGTAAATTGTTAACAAACACAGAGTTGTTTTTGACACCGCCCACACAGGGAAAATAACACAAACACAAGTGCACAGATCGCGCGCGTTGGTACATTTTCAGATATTACCATTTTGTTTACTGAATTTTGCCATGTACAGTTGAAGCTTAACTAATTGCACAACCCCAATTAGCATATTCTTCTTTTTAATGTAAATTATTATTGACGTCACACTTGCCTCTGTCTCATTTTACACACATCTTCTAACATCCTGTATATCCTTGTTTATTATTGAGATTTCCCAACGGGATTTTTTTTAAGTTGTGATAGCGCCCTCTGTTGGCGATTGTCTACACATGCACTGGTTTTCAAACCTACCCATTGCTGCAAATGACCTACATCACAAGGTCGGTCCTAAGCAGCCCAATGCTAGGAACAATGATGCCGTTTCTCTCTATCCAGAGGCGTCCCCATGACTCCAGACTTCTTCCATTAGTAGCACTGGGACTCATTGCTGAAAATTTTAGGAGCACCAGCACAAAATATAGGCTCTCGGCTTAAATTGACTGCAGTGTAATGCAATGTAACACATTATTTTTTTCCCTCACATCTTAACTGTAGTACTGATAAATGTTTTGGTAAGTAATGTACAATTTACAAAAGTAACAATGTAATGTTTTTAGAGGTAAGTGATGCTCTAAGAGGAAAAAATCATCACGTTTTATGGTGCTTTTTAAAACCATAAACACGAAGTTTGTTTCATTGTCACCAAAGGGCCGAGCGAGAGCGAGAGTACTTATGGAACAGACACATGGTGATGACATACTGTGCAGAATCACCACCAACCCACGTTTGTGATGATGATGACAGCCTTGTTAGCGCTCTACTCCAATCACACTGTATCGCCTTCAAACACACGGCAACAGTCGGGTATTATTTAGATTTTATCGATTCCAAATCTGATTCCAGTTCTGCTCATGAAATCCAGTTCTTATCGATTCTTGGTTCCAGTTATAATACAGATTCAATACAGATGTTTGTTTCAAAAACAAAACACTGCATAAATTCTCTTTTCAGAGTTCAGCTTCAACTTTTAAAACAAGGCAGTTATGAACCACACTCTGAACCTTGGTTGTCAGTTTGACCCTGATGTCAGTCATACTTTACATTTCTCTTTAATCTGCCTAAACAGGATAGTACACAGGTTTTGGGTGTTAAATGGTAAATAAGTCTGGCCTATGGGTTGAGCAACAGGCAATTATGGAACTAACTACTGGTTTATAGTCTTAAGTATTTTCAAGATGCTGGCTTGGGTCTTATATGACCAAAGTATGAAATAGCAGAATGCATCATCTAATGTTTGATGCCGCCCAAGCATTACACTTGAAAACTGAATTTCTACTGTTAACTTAAAATATAATTTATAAAAAATGTGTGTGTAGGACTTGAAAGTGGAACCCAAACTCAGATGTCTTATCAAATTCCAGATTCTTAAATTTTTAAGCCTCGCTCTCTCCTGGTGTTCCCCGTGACATGGCCTTAAAAAATAATAAATAAAAAATAAAGAATGGCAAGTCGCATTGGTGCCAATTTAGTCGTGCCGTCTCCAAAAATGGTCACAATCTGGAACCCTGGTTCCTTATTTGTGCTAAACCAGATTTACCGTTGAACTTAAAGGTTGCCCCTTCAATTGATGAAGGGTAAAATTCTTCAGGAAATCTTGGGGAAAATGGCTCTACTGTTTTTAGTGAGTATTGGTCTTATGACTAACCCCCTCCTATGGCTGAACTCTTGCCCCTGGCTTTTTGCGCAGGGAAACCCCAGAGGTTTTCTGCTGTGTGTCTGAGGTTTTCACCTCTTCATATCGTTAGGGTGTTTCTTGGTGCTGTTCTCCATATCCCCTTATATCTGCTATTTTAATTGGCAGTTTCAATAATATGAATATACATGATTGATATGTCAGATACTTTCTCTGTTCCTCATTTTTTAAATTGAATTTCAGGGTCCTGGAGGTTTATTGGCATGACCGTAAAGAAGTTTATCATTGAACAGATGACAGTATTAAGTACATCTAATGAAATAAAAGTAAACCAAAAGCATCACAACAGGAACAGCATGCTTTAAGCTGATGGTACCGTCTTGAAATGCCACATTATTACGATTAATGATATAATTTGATGGCTTTGCATGCTTCCCCTGTTCATGTAAGTCTCCTCAGACTTATGCTCATTTTGGTGTAAAACTATGAAATCATGTGTCAGTGTGCTAGTTTGGTCTAAAGTCACCCGAGTACTTGCCGCAGCCGCCCAATACACCAAAGTATTTGTTGACCCGACCATTAGCATAACGTGTAGCTAATCACTAGCTCATTAAATTATTTAACTATGTTAATTAATTGAGCTGGTGGTGAAATTTAAGAAATACACTGAATGGCTGAGGTGCCCCTGAGGAGAGGTTTGGGAACTGAAGCTGTGTTCATCTAGCCATCCAGCAAGATATCAGTAAGTTTTTGGAGAACAGAAGAAATTATTTTGTTTGTAGTTACTCTGTTCATTTACTTATATTGTAATGTTAAAGTGTGTGTGTGTGGTTTTTTTTTTACATATACATTTACTACCCAGATAAATAGCTTTAAACATTTTCTGACTGCCCAAGTCTTTTGTACGGTTCTGCATTGGATTCTCTGGCATAACTGACCATGATGCATCCATTCCCATGAGTCTGTCTGCTTCACCATCCAGATTTCTTTCCTCATTAGTGTAGGTGTGAGCTCTGAAGGCGTCCGGTCCGCTTATTTTCATGTTGGTCCCGTGCCTGTAAAAGTGCTAAAGTAGCCACAGAGGATGATTTTCCACTGGGATCAGGGCTGATCCTCTCACTGATCTATTGTGATTCTCATTACTGCACATGAGAGTATAAATTACATCACACATGCTTGTTCTCTTGGCTATTTTTAGCCCCCTGTGTGACAGGACTCTTATTTTGATTCTTCTCTCTGTCTGTCCTTTTTCATTGGTTAGATTTCAAAGCAGATTTGTGCACATGCCAATCACAGGTATTGCTAGTGTCGTTTTCAGCATTTTCATAATGCATCATTTCTGCCTCCCCAGCAACTCCAGTGCGGTAAGCAGGGTGGTCGACACAGCAGGGAAGAGCAGTTTCTTTCGCCTGAACGGGGCACACAGACCACGCAGGCGCCACCTGCTGGCAGCCACACCCAGGTGCGTGTGTGACCCCGCCCACCTGCCCCACCCCAGTCCTCTGATTGGCTATGAAGGCTGCATTCTGGAAACAGGGAAATGAGAGCTGATTAGCGGGGGTGGGGTGGGGTGGATGTGTTGCAAAGCCCCTTATATGGTTACACTGTGGCGGCACTTTTAACCTAAATGTCAGTGCTTCTGTTTGCCCCGACAGCCGTCCATGTCGAGGTCTGCTCAGATGCCGCTGTCCAACATGACGGTGCCCAAGGCCTCCATGTCCAGAGTCCCCAGCAGTATGGAGGGCATCAATCACGAGCTGGAGAAGGTGTTCATCAAGGATAACGGCGACAAGGAGGAGCTGAAGGTGCCGGAGTGGCGTGACCCTCTCCTATACGCACACACACGCACAAAGGCTCTGCCAGTCATGAAATTTCCCGTTCAACATAAAATATATAAGGAACATTCACAGTGGGAGTAAGTGAGTATTAGACAGGTATCTTGTGAATGTCAAATATGTACATATACCAGTGGTCGGACTGGAAATGGACTGGGGGGAGGGGGCGATGACGATGATGGGTATTACAGAGCCATCTGTGGACCCCAGCAGCGTGAAAAACCGCACCAGTCTGATGTGTTTTTTCTGCTGCTTCTAATAACTCCTGCTTATGAATATGGAGTGACGTCTCCACAGTGATTTTCCTGGTACTTCTCAAAGGTACAATGGCAGCATAATCACTCCTGAAAATTCCACGCACAGGTCTGAGTTGGTCTCCATGGTGCCCCCCACCCCTGCCACACTCCCGGCCTTTTAGTGCATATGAAAGGTGTGGCCTGTTAAATCCAGCACAGCCTATAAAATGTCACTGATTTGTCATTTGCCCCCCTTTACCAGGCTCTGGAGGTCCCCGATGGGCGGCGTGCCCCATTCCCCCCCCAGCATCGCAGCAGCAGTACGCGCAGCGTGGACACACAGGTGCCCCTGGCTCCAGGCCGCTCCAGCAGCTGCTCCAGCCTGTCGCCCTGTCCCTCGCCCGCCTGCCCCCTCGGCTCCCACGATGGCAGTCCCTACTCCACAGAGGACCTGCTATACGACCGTGACAAAGGTCTGCCCCATATCCCCCCGCCCCCACTGTCCTGGAACTTGAACCTAGTAATGGCCAAATGAAGCCCAATGAACCAATTGCTGTATTTTCTGACCCCACTAGATGGTGCTCTTGGTTTGCTTTGTGTTATGTTTTGAGCACTTTTTCCTTTTTTTTTTTTTTGAAAACAGCACCATCTAATTGGGTCAGCAACTGGTTCACGAAGCTTCATTTGGCCATCACTACCCGAACCTCAGCATTGGGGTTTTTTTTTTTTTTATCCAGTTCGTGTGACATGGCTAGTCACCATTTCCACATAACATCACACTAACAACATTTCCAAGTGAAGGAAGCTGCAAACACAGCTTTGGAAATTACCTCGGCCCTCAGTCAATGACCTTTGATCTCTAACCCCCGTTGTGTCCAACAGATAGCGGCAGCAGTTCTCCCCTGCCCAAATTCGCCTCCTCGCCCAAACCGAACAACAGCTACATGTTCAAGCGGGAGCCGCCCGAGGGCTGCGAGAGGATCAAGGCCTGTGAGGAGGCGCCGTAAGTACGGGCCGGGATGCTCCCGGCTGGGCTGCCATCCAGGACAGGGATTATCAATTAAAGGATTTTAATTCATTTTAACAAACCTCTTGGGGTGATAGGGGATGTCAACCCGTAATTGCACTGTACTGTGCCTGCTTACAAACATCATAGGACTGTGTTTAGGTCAATGATGACCACCTAGTTCAGTATCTGTTATTGAGTTAGTTTCCTCATTCTCTCCGGTTTTGGACATTAACTGCTTCCTAATGACAGCCTTCGCGGTTCCCCACCCCAGGTCCCGGCAGTCAGCCGCCCCCCCACTCTTCTCCTGCCCCGACAAAAACAAGGTGAACTTCATTCCGACTGGTTCCGCCTTCTGCCCTGTCAGACTCCCTGGCTCCTTCTCCAGCTCGGTGTCTGACCCTGATGACGAGGCCGGCCCCTCTCCTGCTTCTGCCCCGGCGGGCTCCGAGCCCCCGCTTTCCCTCAGCCAGGTCTCCACCAGCACCAGCACGGATGACCCCCCAGAAGTGCCCGCAGAATCCCCGACTGAACACCAGGGGGCAGTGTCGGATGTGGCCGCCGAACCTCAGAACTCTGTCACCAGCTAGTCTTGGCCAGAGCGGGATTCTGGCTTTACTCATTGCCGCACCTCAGGCCTCACAACACCCCCACCCCCACCCTCCACAACAGACCACCAATTTGTTGAACCCCCACATTCTGCATGGCATAGCAACAATATCGAACGGGGAAAAAAAAATAGTGATCGTAGCATATTCTTAAGCACTGTTGTCAGGGAAGCTGTATACTGTACATGATAAAAATATATTCCTCTCTATGAGCTACTCTGTAAGGAAACGATATGTTGCCATTTGTGGTTAGGAGGACAGACGAGACGCCTTTACTTTGGGTTCTAATGGGATGGGTGGGGGGCATGAACCTGAATCTGGTAGTATGTTTAAGATAATTTGTGTCATGTGGTTTGTTTCAAAATCCACAGTATGAATAAGCTCTATATAAAAAAAAAATGCTTGTTTAAATTTAAACAAAAAAACAAACTGCGTATTGCTTTGTCATGTATGTAAACAGGGAAGTAAGACGTATGTTTCAGGCTTATAGTCATACTTTAGTCCAGGTTGTGTGTCTAAAAGAAAAGAACCAGGAAAAGGGCAAAAACAGAGGAAGTTGAGTGAAACTTGGCCTTGCTGTCGAAAAGTAACCCGCTTCAGGAATCCCAGACAAAGCGATACCTCAGGTAATCGGGCTTGCGTGTCCATGTGGGGACGGTCGGGGTTTGTACCTGAGCCGGGAGGAAGACGGGTACCGCTGATGCAGCCAGGATTTCCTCGCAAGGCTCCGGCGCTCGCCCCGCCTTTCCCGTTGGGTGCGGGTAACCCCAGGGCGACCTGTAGCTAGAGGGTCACGGGGGTGTGGCTGGGGAGACCCCGAGGACGGAAATGGCCGAGAGCTACGGAAAGCATGGGAAGGCCAGCGGGGCCTGTCTGTAAGATGGCGAAGATGGCGGTCCTGTAGCGGGATCCGGTTCCCGGGCCGAGCGAGGAGCTCGAACAGAACACTGTCGCCATGATATGTTGGAAGAAATTAGGTCAACAGAAGGCAATGTATAGACTTCCAGTTAATGGAAAGACGTGTGCAGTGCCGGTATACTTGCATGGCACCAGTAAGCTAGGTCTGCTTACCGTGCGATTTTACTGGCCCATAATCGAAATATATAGGGTTCTGTAATTCCATGTACGGCATGAGGGGGCAGGTGCCGAGTGATGTTGGAGTGGAACACGACCCCACCGCATGACAGAACAGCACAGAGAACAGCCCTTTACTAAAGCTTAAGTCAATAAACAAGCAAAAACACCGTTAAAAAGTTTGCTGTAGAGAAACATTATAATGACCTTTGAAATATCAGAGAATGAAACAAAATGACGACTGAAACGGCCTGAATTAGCACAAGTTGAGTAAACCTGTTTTACCCTACACCTTTAATGTCAGGCCAGGAAAAAAGCCTCGGTTTTTGTGACAAAGACTTTAATCGGATAATAAAAATAATGACAGTCTGAAGTATTAGTGGGGAGGGGGAACAAAATTTTTTTTACGAAAATTCCTAAACTGACGGCTCGACCCTGTTTAAATTTTTCCCTTCAAAATGACCAGTTTTGTCCAGAAACAAAGAATGTAACGATATACACAGTTACATAACTGTTAACATGTAACCTCACTGTTGATGTTTTAACTTTGCTAGCTTTGATTATGGAGGACAACTTTTCTCAGGCAGTGCTGGGGCGGCCAAACTGTTGCCCGGTTTGCCCTGAAAACAGATCTCAGTCAATCCCTCCTCAGCCCCAGACATACTCATTACTGTGGAAATATTTTTATGTAAAAAAAATAAAAATACATTAGAAAGCTCAAATGTATTTTTCAACTTTTCGTGTTCAGAGATGGCTTTAATGTGGATTGATGCAATATTTTTTGTCGCACTTCGTTAAGGTGATAGTTTACCCTTAACATTACACTAAGGTAAACTAGATCTGTGCAATAATACTAGTCTCCACTTGGGAGTGACGTTTATAATGTAAATTTAATTTCTCAATTAAAAAAAAAATATATATATATATATATATCAGAACCCATAAATCTGCCATTTCATTGGTCGGTACCTCGCCGGCTGATTCTGCGGTTGCCGATGTGTAGACCAGCGCACTGCTAAGAGGAACGTGCTCACATTTGACCTGCGATAAATTTCCAGTCGCCCATAGCAGAAAAAGCTAAGTAGCTTGCGTCTCCTCTGGCCGTTACTTTTACTACCTATAGAGGTCACTGTAATAAAATCATATACTGGTGATGTGAAAACATTGGGTTGTGCTATGTGAACATAGTTTGTTTTTGGAGCCCTCTAGAGGTAAAGGTGGCCCCTGCAGGGTCTGGTCTGCGATCTTGCTTGAAGTTTGTACTCGGTTTCCGCCATTACTGCTAAACCACTGCGTTTCCAGCTTCGCCTGCATGGGGCGCAACTGTTTTGTACATTTCCGCACAGAGCTCTTGTGTCTTTATTTAAATAAAGTTATTGGAAGAACCAAATTTGCGTTACTCAGACTCTTTCAACAGTGTGGTGACTTCGGGGTAAGTTTTCTTTTGGCAATGAGTCACAGGTCAAGAGTCGTGAGTCATTTGCACAAAAACAAGGTTATATTTGTTGTTGTTTTTTTTTTTTTTTTTTTGAAGAAGGAAATCTCACAAAAAGTTCTGTCAGAACATCACCAGGAACACGTGTAACATGCAAAGTCGTATCAGCCATTTGAACGTTGACTAGTGAAGCGTACAGGTCTATGAAGGAGCTGAACTGCAGCTATAAAGTGATTGTGACACCCTTGATTTTGTACACTGATTTCAGTAGTTCAGTGGCCTGTACTACGAAGCGGGGTTACTGGCTTATCGGGGTAACTTGTTGGATTTAAGGTAGTCTGGGCAAATTGTCAGTGAGCGAATATGAAGTCCATTTAAACTGTGGTACCTTAAATCCGACAAGTTACCCCGATAAGCCAGTAACCCCGCTTCGTAGTACAGGCCACAGGTGCGAGCAAATCAGATGTAGAAGCTTAGAAGCTTTGGGTCATTGAAGTGGCTGCTGCAAGTTCTGTGCGGGACGGAGTTTGCGGCTCGCAGACATGGCACCACCTCACCCAGTCACTTAGATCGGGATTCAGACACCGACCAGTTTTCACGGCATAGCAGAACAGCAGTGATAAATCACTGTTGCATCACCAGAACATGGTGGTTGATTGAACACGACTGTTGCCAAGTCTGCCTATTGTGACTTTGGATTTTCCCTTATTTCATTGAGTTGCATTTTTGGCTTTGTTTTTATTTTGAAGTTGTAGTTCTGGGGCCTTTTAACCTAATCCAAATTTTTTATAACATATTGATCCTTTGAGGAAATCCAAGTTCTAATGACAATCACACTACAGTGTGTGGGGGCATGGTGGGGGCATGGTGGTGTGGGGGGTAGCACTGCTGCCTCTCACATCCGAGACCGGGGTTCAAATCTCCGCCAGGGTTCCATGTGGGGAGTCTGAATGCATCTTCCCCCCCGTCCACTGCACCTCACAGGACCTGGCACTGTGTGTTTCCTCTGGCTACTCCTGTTTCCATAGTGCCTGTGAATGTGCCCTCTGATAGGAGGGTTGTTCCCTGCTTTGTGGCCATAGACTCCAGATCCCCTGCAGACAAGCAGTTATAGGAAATGGATCAATAAAGTTAAAAGTGTTTAATTTGTCATACTGTCCATACAATTGCCCAAAATAACACTATTTATTCACTGAAATCCTCCAGGATTTCCATTACTATTGTATGCATGTTTACAAGCAACACAAAATATGGCAAACACAGGGTCAAACTGTGGTCCATGTGGTCGTGTATAATGGGCTGATACTTGGGCTTGATTTTTCCATCCTACTTTGCACAGTGGGCTGACGTTGGGCTTGCTTTTGTCCTGTGAGACTTGACAGCAGCGTTTATCACTCGCGCAGTGTGCAGTTCTGAGCTACACCACAGATGTTGCATTGTTTAGGTCACATCTCAGCCAGAATCTTCTAAATGTTTGACTTTACATAATTCACTGAAAGCTTGCACGCGCTAATATTTTATACTATACTGTAGAGGATTGATTTCAAACTTTCAGTTTAAAATCTGGTGCCTCCTATGAAAACTGAAAAGAATTTTCCCAGGTTTTCTTGCGAACATTCCCTTGGGCTATTTGCTAAATTTGATAGACCATTCTTCATCTAACGATTCACATATGAAAAGTTATTGTGCTACTCTGGAAATACACAATACGCTTGATGCCGCCGGGGAAGGATTTCTGACAGTCAGGTCTCTACCAGCCCTGACTGTCTTAGCAGGATTTGACTAAATGAACTTTATCTCATATCTACCAGGCTAAAACACCACAGAACGTGAAGCAGCCACTGAGAGCACGAGGCACGCTAAGCTACATGCTAACGCTAACCTGCCAGAGTGTAAAATCACTACCACTGATACTTTCACATGCAGGCATCCGCAAACAGCAAATGAGAGTGACATGGTCACAGGGCTTAGCACTGAAATTCGACGGCCTATTTCACCGAGTTGGGGATACATTGTAGCAGTTTACAATACATGTGAACTGACGACACAGCGGTCCATCCGACACAGTGAATCGACTCCCACGGGAAGCAGACTTACCCTTTACAGAGCTGAATATACGGAGCTCCTGTTGGGTCCAGACAATTGTGCGACTGCCTAGCAGACCAGATGTAGAACATTTATAACTGACGCTGAGAAGGAGATGTGAAGTTTGTCCAGGGAAGCGATCTTAGATGCGTCCTCTCCCTCTGGTCACTGCCGGTGATAATAGACTCAGACCTTGCCCTGCGGAGACAGATCAGATGCTGGGTTCCGAGCATCTTCAAAATCACTGCTCCCTCTAGTGATAACAAAGCAGAAGGCAGCTGCATCCCTAGCGCAACATGGAAGCACTGAAGTCACATTTCTCACATTAAAGGAATTGTGATTTAAATAGAGAACTGCAAAAGAAAAAAGAAAACATTATTACATAGCAGTTCCATTATGTGCACACAGCCATTTGATAACTGAAATGCTCACCCAAGAATTATTCAATTGATAATTAACAAATGGCACTAGATATTCAATTTCCACCAGATACACAGACCTGCATGTCAAATGCATGCTGAAGTGTACAGAAGGCTGTGGCTGACTACAGTTAATTGTTTTTGGTGGTGGGAGATATTTTTTTAAAGAGATATCTGACTGCAGCTCATCACAAGCTTCTGTAGGATGGGGGGCAGATGGCTTTTCGGGGGACCCCACTGTACCCTTTGAAATATCCGCCCCCCCGCCACATTGACCGTCGCCTCAAGATCAGGGGAGGCAGGGAACAGCCACATTAAACCAGCCTTGCTGCTGTAAATTCTGAGTAAATGGGGTGTGCTTGTCAGTTGTCACCCCCCCCCCCCCAGTGCTGCTCCCACCCCCACCTAACTGATATCATCACCCACGAGAGGCACCTCTGGGAGCCTTCCTCGGACCTGTAGGGATGACATCACCATGTTCACTTGAGGAAGTGGGTGTAACCCCCCCTGCCCCAGGAGGTGCGGCAGATGAGACTCGCCGGTCACACATTTTCACCTGCCTCATTATCTTTGCTTTTTGATGGGGGGTAACTGGGGTAACAGACCCATTACAGAACTCCTTAACGATGCAGACATCGACTCGTTTGCTAATGGTAGACTTTCTAAGCCATATGTCCTTGTGCATCATTTATCAAACTCGCCAAGGGTGTGGGGCTCTGCGTAAGGCTTTGGACCTATAAATGAATATAAACACAGAAACTTCTGACCCCAAGTGCAAAGCCTTGCTGGGAAGCCCCCCCTCCCCAACATTCATTTCTTTAAGGAAGGCTAAACGTCCAGCATGGGACACATAGACAACACACATCACCATGTCTGTAACACCAGCACTGGGGAAAATAACAGCGTAATCTCCAAGGACTACAGGAAAAATGACATAAAAAATAAGGGATACAAGACTGAGGGGTGAATCAAGAACGCTGGAGCTCACGCTGCACCAATGAGCAGCCCCCAGGCTGACGAATCACACCATGGGTGAGACAAACTGGGAGCCCCCCCCCCTCCAGGCCCCCTTTTCTACCAAAGACAGTCCAGTTTGTATCTCTGCTCTTACACATCATTGCCAATGGCTGCCAAATGGCAGGAATGTGCAGATTGCACTGACAAACCCATAGAAAGTCTTACTTGCTTAGCTTTTAATCTCCAAAAATGTAATCCTGAATATTCATGGGAGCAATTGAGGTTATGTGCAATTCAGGGTAAAAGAGTAAAGCCCGTACAAGGACTCACAAAGTTCTGTTTACAACCCCTGCTCCACCCCTCCCCATAATCTAAATCTATTACAAACAAAGCTTGATGATAATTAACTGGCTGGATGAGTCATATTACTCATATTAAATTTACAAGAGAGCTTCTGAAGATCTACAGACACAATGCACACCTGCGGGCCACAAATGGTTTAAAAACATATTATATTAACCATCAGGGAGGACAGACGAGCAAGAACATATCTACGCTGATGCTGTATGTGCGTAAACTGTACCGTCCATTAACACGTGACCATGCAAGTGCATCAAAACATCGACCACAAGATGGCAGCCTAACACTGAAAAATGGTCCCATTGTAACTTGCTAGCCTGACAAAACGACGAAAGTCTCTACCGTGGCAGTTTAAAAGAATACATTATGCGACAAAAATACTTTTTAAATAGTGTCACATTCAACAATTAACCATTTATCGTGTTGTGAAATGATCTACGTCGGCGGCATGAAAACAAAGTGTCACAAGAAAATTGGAAATTATTGGTGTTTCGTATACAACACAATACACAACATTAAATTCTTATTAACTACATAATTATTCTTTCATATGAATAGCTTAAATCTTGGCCCGGTGCTTTTTGTTGAAAGACATGTCCTGCTCAGAGTTTGGCTGTGTTTCAAGTCGGTATAATCGGATTTGAGTTTTTCTCCTCTAATCTCACCCCACCGCCTGGAACAAAGGTAAGACCCCCCCTTTCAGAATCACATTAAGAAGCAAAAAGCCGCTTGTAATCTCCAGGATTCTTTTTCTTTTTCTCCCCACGTATGAACGCTTCCCCATTCGTCATATTGAGAGACTGATAATCACTTTTGTTTGTCTTGTTTTTTCTTGCTGTTTTTTTTGTCTAGCTCTGGATTTATCTGCTCGTTCGGTACTGGGAAAGTGCTATGAAGTAAAAGAATGACAATAAGAATAATTTATCAAAAGAGGCTTGGCTGGGGGCACCGGGGGCGGTTCCAGGGGTCAGAGACGTGCGGGAGGGGTGGTGGTTGTGAAAGTAAAGAACCTGCTTTTCGTTAAAAGCAACCGGGGCTTAAACCCCGTAAACCCCAACCCCGACACCTCTAGCGAGTAGAAAGACGACGGAAGTCGAATGATTGAATTACAGCATGAAATCGGAATTGTCGGCC